AACCTGGGACCTTCTGCATGCCAAGCAGATGCTCTGTGGCTGAGCCACGGCCCCACCCCGAGCACTCTGAACATACAACGAACGCCACATGTTGCTATTAGATTAGCTCTGAACACACAAGTAATTCTAAGCTATTTTTTTTGTTTCATCTTGGAGATATCTTTCTGGAGGAAACATATACAGAAAATGTGGCTGAATGTTACCCTTCCTCTCCAAAGCTGCGCTCTATCACAAACCGGCCTCCCCACCCCCCTTTCCTGCCAGGCAACTATTTTGTTTTTCTGCTTGGCTTTCCATCAAGGCTATCTCAGAAGCCTCCCTTCCTCCTCCGGGTAACAACTGTTTTATTGCTGGGAGCACTTTCAACCTGGAAGGCGATAAGGCGGCCTTCTGCTTGCGTGAGCAAGCTGCACGTCCACTGCTTTCTGCCAGACCGATTCTTTGCAAAGCCCCGGCTCCTCCCATTCCCAGGCTACATTAATCAATACAGATAAGCAGCCGCTAACCACAAGCAAAGGGCAAAACACTCGGCCCTGGGAGCCACTGGGCACCTAAAACCTTCAGCTTGACGGGGACCTGAATTGCTGCAGAGGTCTGGAAGGGGTGTGTGTGTATCTGGCTCCTCCAGAATTTCACCCACTCCTGAAGTCTGCAACCCCGCAAGCCTGCTTACCTTGCATCTAGGTCTCCTTAGGCTGAATTGCAATAAAGAAACTGCAATAAAGAAACGAATAAAGAAAAGAACCTGGGAGATTCGAGTTCAAATTCCTGCTCGCTGGCTGACCTTGGGCTAGTCACATGCTCTCAGTGTAACCTACCCCAAAGGGTTGTTGTGAGGATAAAATGGAGGACAGGTGAATGATGTAAGCCACCTTCTGGTCTCCAGAGGAAGGAAGGAAGGAAGGAAGGCTCTACTAAATAATATAAATAACTAAAGCAGTGGTGGAAAAGCTTGTGCCACTTCCATGAGGCGATAACAGCCAGCATTTCCCATGCCTTTTACAACAATCCTAGAAGGTAGGCCAGTGTCAATATGGACAAATGACACATGACGTAAGAGTCACATGCTTATGCTCTAGCCTTTTCATTGGTCTCTGCAAAGCACCCATTGGAGGGCCTGATCTGGATTGAGACCACTGTGGAAGCAGTTAACTCTTATCCCACCATGACTGGAGCTCCTGGTGGCACCTGATCTTTTTGTCCACTGTGTGACAGAGTGTTGGACTAGATGGGCCACTGGCCTGATCGAACATTGGCTTCTCTTATGTTCTTAACTCACACACTCCTCCCTCTGCATAAGTCTTCCCCATCAGAAAACATGGGAGTGGTATCCCATCCCCTGTATGTGTCCTCGAGCAACATAAGGTTAGGTATTTCAAACCGAGCCGGGGTGGGTGGCCGGGAATCCATCTGCTCAGCTCACTGGGTTGGGTGCAAAGTTCCCTGGCTCAGCACCCAGGCCCAGCCTCTCCGAAGAACGTACATTGCTGCAAGGCACAGTGGAAACTCGAAACACCCCCCCCATTGCCTGATACGCTCATCAGGTAAATCACAAGAGTAGCACTGTCAGCTGACAGCATGCCAATTGTGGCTGATGCACCCCCACACAATCTGCTCTCGGGCAAGTTCACACAAGATGTTTTGCCCGCCTCGCAGGAGAGACCCGATCGGCTGCTGTTTGAAGGCACGATTTCCCCACAGCTCTGGGCTTACACACCCACACCGACGGCGACTCCGCCCCTTTGGAACCTTCGCAGCCAATCAGAAGCCGAGGGTCATGTTTCCCTGTTTCAGCGTGTGACCCAACCAAAATCCCCATTTCTGTTTGCAGGGCCTCCCATTCAGTTTTTTTTCCCCCTTCAAAATGCTGCTAAATGCAGTCCTGATGGGTCAGTAGCATGCACTTTATGCTCACAGGCGATCCAAGGTTCGAACACTGGGGGGTGGGGGGTGGAGGGGGCGTTTTCCAGTCCCAAAGAGACATGCTGCTGCCAACTGTCTGGGATGCTGTCTGGAGGCGTCTTTTGACAGGATCCGCCAACTGGAATAAAGATGCAGGCTAGAAGAGGCGCCTCTGGACAGCAGGATCAGGCCAAAGAGCCACCTAGGGCAGCCTCCCATTCCCCACAATGCTTCAAGCCCTGCTCTGTGCCCTCTCCTTAGCCGCTAGCCCTCCGGTACACTTCTGAACATGGAGGCACACTGCCTCTGAACATCGCCTTTTCTTGAGTTGAGAAAGCATTTCAGACCCTATCGTTTTTCCTTTGCTGCCGCTTCCGGCAGGCTCGTCTGGGGGACGCCGCAGCACCCGGTAGCCACAACCCCAAAGCAGAGTGCCTTTGGGCAGACGGAAAGTATGTACAGATCCTTTTGCCTCTGGTTCCCCAGATCAGGTTTGGGAGCAGCAGATTCCAGGCTCGGGGAGGGAAGGCGGCCTGGTATAGAGCCCGATCGTGGAAGCTAAGCAGGGCCAGTCCTTGGATGGGGAATCACCCAGGAAGCGTCAGCAGAGGAAGGCAATGGCCAGTCGCCTCTGCTTCTCTCGCCTGCCTTGAAAGCCCCTTGCTGGGGTCGCCGTAAGTCGGTTGCAGCAGCTGCTCGACGAAGCGCACATCAATTTCAGAGGGGTGTGTGTGTGTGTTTCCTTTCCACAATCGTTAACCCAAGCCTCTCGCCTTAAAGCACGCCAAATTGGTTTCATTCCGCCAAAGGCGCACAGGAGGTGGAACTCCTCTCCGGGAGCCCGCCCGCCCCACTGCAAACTGTCACCGACGGAGGAACCAGATAGCCAAACGCTCCTGACGGTGCGCGAAACTTCCCTTTGCAAAACCCGCAGCTGGCTTCTGCTAACAGCCCCCCTCCCCGGTCCAGCGCCCTCCCCCGACTTCCTCCCCACGCAGACATTCCCCCCAACCCCTCTTGCAAAAGCCCCCCGAGAATGCAAACCTCACTTCCCCCGACCGCAGCAGAAAAGCGTAAAGTTGGAGCGGAGAGGTGGCGGGGGGGGGGGCAACCGTCTCTCTCCCTCCCCCCACACAAGCGCTCACCTTGCGGGCCCCCCGCTTGGCAAACTCCCTGGCCAGGTGACGCCCGATGCCTCGGCCTCCGCCGGTGATCAGCACGCTGTCTCCGGACAAGTCCCGCAGCTTGGAGGGCAGCAGCGTGCCCACGAGCGCCTTCGCCACCAGGCCGAGCAGCTGGACGGGGAGCAGGAGCCAGGCGGCCAGCCATTTCCAAACCATCTTTTCTCCAAGGCCAAAAAAAA